ACTATAAAAAAATGCTTCAGAGTCTTAACACTAAAAATGGTAGCAACTACTTAGCATCAAAGAAGTGCTTCACTACTCCAAGAACAAATGATAATTCTTGGTGAAGTGAAACACCCAAAATGTTCATTTACATTACATGGTATAAAGTTGTTGCCCTTATGCGTTTTATTCAGCAACACTAAAATTTACAATTGCAGTGAGATATGATACACATAATAATCAGTAAAGTGCTAAATTGTATTTATTAAATTACATTTAAAATATATTATTATAAACTTATAATGAAATTAATAATAAATTCCAAAAATAAATAATTCATTCATTTTTTCATGTTTGTTAATTCACTAGGAGCTCTGAATTTTTTTTTTTTTTATACAGCATTGTTGTTTTGCTAACTTTTATATTTGTTTCTTAAATAGCTAGTTTTAATTATAATAAATTTATTATTTTTGTTTCGATTGTAATTTCTCATATGTCAAAACATATCTTATTTTTCTTATTTAGAAAATACAAAAAATATTATTATTAAAAATGTTATTCAATTTTTTAAGTTAGGAATTGTTTATTAGAAGCTATAAAACTCTGCTCGAAATGTCCCAAACTTCTCCCCAACTTGTTAAATGCTAGTGATAAAAAATACGAATGCAAGCTATACATATAATAATACGAATCATACTATAAATATACGAATCGATCGTTGTTGTAAATATTTATTCCATTTTTAATTTTTTTTAAATATATTTATTTAAGGGTAGTCAACGTTTGTCTTAAATTTACCACTGTAAGGAAAATGGTAAATTTCAGGAGCCTTCTGAAAAAGCATTTTATGACATCGAGAAAATATGTTTTTCCACCTACTTTTATTGCAAAATATATGAATAAGTAGCTAACATAGGTAAAAAAAAGTATTAGAAAAAGAAAACAGAGAAAAATAAAGAAAGAATGAGTTTTTTGAAAAAAAAAAAGATCTTCAAAGTGCTAAATATACTCAAACCATTGCTGGGCTTCTCTAGAATTTACTGAAATAATTTAAAGAATATATGAAATTGTGGTCTTTTTCGTTACAGATCATATCTGCAAAATGTAGAAATACATAGTTAAATTGCCTTAATTTTATGTAACACCAATAATGAAAAAATAGTCAGTACATATAATCATATTTAGAAAAACATTCTTACAAAAAAAGTATAAGTCTTCAAATAAAGCTTTTCAAATAATAAATTACGAAAAATATTTTTATTACAATTATTTTTTCGATTCATCATAAAGATGCTTTTGTACAATTTATTTTCACTTAACTTTACGAACCACGAAACATCTGCCAAATAGCGTTAATTCATATCGTCGATTCTACTGAAGATTTAGAATCCATTTCAGATTCTACTCTAAAGTAGAGAAAAGAAAAAGTTTAATACCTGTCCTTTTCATTAGTGAAAGATTAATATTGGAAAAATGGGAGTGCAGTCTTTTTAAAAGGAAAAATTGGATCCCGCAGGCTTTCACGAATTTAATGAGAATGTTGAGTACTAACTCCATAGGATGAATCAGTAGATAGATTCGAAAGAAGATACGTCACTTCTCCTGAATAATTATCGAAAAGAACTCTTTTACTTTGCGAGGATAACTCGGTTAATTGCTCTCAACCGGTATGAAAAATCTAATTATTGGAAACGTTGAGAATTCCAATCAATTACAGTTTTATGCTATCATACATGAACTATTAAATTATTCGGAAATTAAAATATTTTTAATTTATTGCGCATTGAGAAAGATGTTACATGATGAAAGATGTTTTTAATACACACAAAAAAAATTTGTCTTGTAAAGCTTTGGTTTAGTTGAAATATAATGCGATAAGTTAGTGGTTAAAGAGAAATTTTAGAAATGTATACTAAAATAGTACACATATTTAAAACTTGGAGCTCTTTTTAAGCTATTCATAAACTACAGGATACATTATAACCATTAATGTATATTTTTAGAATGCTTGTCGAAAATAAAATGAAAATAAAGCCAAATAGATTATAGAGATATAGCCAATAGAGATATTACCAAATATCTCACGCTGAAAGAGATTTTTTTGAAAAGTATGCTGAAAGTGGAACATTTATTTAATATTTGGGATGTTAATACCATTATCATTAATACCATTACCATTTATTTATGTATATCGTTAGATTGATAGCTAAAAAATAAGTTAAAATAATGCTTATTAAAATAATATCATGAAAATTACTTACAAAAGAGAGAAAATTGGGATCGCTTTGTTGCAATCACCAGTACTCCATTGCTCAAATGTTTTTTCCTGTATAGACTTTCATTAACACTACAACATTTCAACTCATGAGTTGCAAAAACTGCATCAATTGATATTTATCCTCTTATAGTCTAATAGGCTGGAATAGTTTTCGACTCCAGCTAACATACATTTCTGAAGTCAAAAAATTCTTTTCTTCTTTCAATATCCATAAAGATTAAAATCGCCACCAAGACAATATTTATGAATAATTATCAATAAATCTTTGAATTAATATTATGTATAAACATTAATAAAGCATGCAAAATAAAAATAAAAACTCAATCTGTAAAACAATCAACTTCAAGAAGTTCTAAAATTATCGTTTGCTTTTTTTTTTATTTAATGCTTATTTTAGCCTGATTTCTTAGATTCTTACAGCTCTTTATTTGTGGTTATGAAGTTGAAGTTCATCTAGTCTAGTCGATAAAGTTTATCTAGTCAAAAAATGAACAGACATGAAAACATTTTCCAATAACTCACATTTTCCTAATGGGAAAACTACACTGGAGCTGAATATTTTAACACCAGGGAAATTTTGATAAAATAATCTTAATTGGTACATTTATTTAATACTAGGGATGTTATTGAGAAATTAGGAAAAAGGTACAAAATGATTTCATGTATGTTTTTGGAATCTTTAATAAAAATTGATGTAAAATGTAAAAGTAATAACAATTAGGTTAAAACGATATGGAATATTATCAGCGTCGGAAGAAAAATTCTGAACAAGTATAAAGTAAAACATTAAATCAATGCTACAAAAATTTTGACAAAAAGGTCATTACCATTAATGTGTGCTTTCAGTTTAATTGTTCAAAATTAAAATTAATCCTTTGTCTTAGAGTAAGTTCGGATTTGGGGTTGTAGTAGATAAGCTAGAGTATCATTTATTTATTTATTTATTTTGAATTATCGTAAAGTTATAAATAATTCATGACATGTCATTTTAATGTTTATATTTAATGTAAAGTTATTGTCGTTTATAAATGTATATTTTTTTGAAAAAAAAATTTCTAAATAAATTAATATAATTATTAAAAGTTGATGCTGAAAAATTACTCAAAATCATAGAGTAAGTACGAAGTTCTGCGTTATAGTGAGTAATATTGTGCATAACTCATTTAATTTTTTTTATTTTCTACTTTAAAGTAAAACAATAATAATACTTTTATTGCAATAATAACTTTGAACAATTTAAGCAAATTCATCATTTTTTTAATGTACAATCCGTCATCAAGTTCCCAGTGATTATCCTACATCTAATATTTGTTTTAATCTAATAGTTAATTTTTCTATGAATATTCTTGAATGATTATAAAGGTAATTGTTTTACTTTTGCAATATTATCTTGGTCATTTTCATTTCAAGTTTATTACCTCTTAACGAGCGATAACAACAAAGAGAGGTGTGAAAATTACACCTTACTGAAAGAAAAATTCAAAGTAAACGAAGTGATTAGCCATTGATGGCAGTAAATTTATTCATAAAAATAAGAATTTTGCAATAATGGCGGAGATAAAATATCCTCGACTCGGAATTCCCGTTCCGAAGATCGTATTTTTATATGACAATTATAACTCATAAATAATAATGAACATCCATTTCGCATTCCGTACATCCATTCTCTCTAATATAATGTCTATATATTTTATATGTTGCGCCAAATAACTAATGATTTGCTTTTAAAATATTTTCTATCACGAGAAAAATTAAAAGAATAAAAAAATTGATTGAAGTTTGGATTAAAAGGTTTATCAACAGTTTTATCGCTAACCAGTAATCTAACTACTAGCTAGTTAGAAAAAAAAACAAATGGTTTCTTTGTCAATAAAGTAATTTTTTTTAAATTGGATGTTAGTGAAATAATTCTGACTGCAACATGCAAGTAATTCCATTTAATATTATTGCATAAAAAATTTTCTTTTTTTATTTTAGAATATATTTCCTTGCTATTTGCGCATACATCGTCATTTTTAGTTCGATTAGTCATCATTTTTAGTTGTCATTTTTGGTAGGATATTTTAACATCTTAATAACGCTTTTCAATGATTGAAAAAAATTAAATAAAAAACGTAAATATATAGAATCGTTCTGCTTAAGAAAACTGACATTTCTTCTTGGTAAGTTCTAAGATTAATTACAAAGTTTTTCGGGAGATGGAGCTGCAAACCAAAAGAACAAAATGAGAGCAAAACTCATAGGCGTTGGTAAGTTTTTTAGACAGAATGGTCTGTCTGACATGAAGCAGAAAACATTGCTTTATAGTTTTTCAATTCAAGAGTGGCATCTGTTGACTAACCTTGTAACTAGTTTTGTGAGAAAATTGAATTCTGTTTCTTATGCAGAGCGCAGTAACTATTTATTTCTATTTCCCTTCACTTTTTTATTTTCTATTATCAGTGATAAATAATCTGATGGTTTTATATTAATTTTATATGAAATTAATACAGTGAAATATGCAAGAGGGCCTAACCAAATATTTAAACAAACGATTTTGGAACAATTAACCAAGCCACGATTCCACTATGAAAATTTGAAAATTTAGAATGACAGTATAAACATTATTTGTGATAGAATGTCCTTGATGATGTTCATGTAGTGAGAAAACATTCTCCAAACTTTCAATTTTTTTTCTTGTTCTTTTTAAATTATCTATAAAGGTATTAAAAATGAATTTGAACCCTCAAAAAAATACACATACATACATATTTCTTTTCTCTTCACTCCAATTTGGAGCATAGGGCTTCTATCATAGCTTTTATTTGTGGCCTCTTTCATTTTGCCTCCTTCAAAAAGAAAAAAATACAAAAAAAATTTTATTTTTAAAGATCCCGGTTCAGGGTATTGCTGTTATATAGTAATAAATGTTTTCAATAAATATTCATTTTAAAAAAAAAGTTAATCCACTCATATAATTTGAGAATATGATGGCAGTTTGAAAGAATGACTTTTGACAGAAAGGTATATAATGTTTCTCAAATCAAGATAACGTGTGTTAACATACAAAACTTATTTTAAAAATTAAAGAATAATTTATTTGCATAAATGTAAGAATTAATATGTCATACAAGCTTAAGAATACATTATTTGTATCAATTTAAGAAGAAATCATTCGCATAAATTTAAGAATACATTCTTTATAAGAGTTTAAAAGTACATTCTTTGCTTATAAGTATAGATACTTTTTTGTAAGATTTATTCTTTGTTTAAATTTAAAAGTATATTTTTGCAATAAACTAAAAATACATTCTTTGTATAAATTAAGCAATACATTTTTCGTATAAATTAAAAGAGTTTTGTAATAATTTAAAAAAAACATTTTTTTCTTCGTATAAACATAAAAACACATTCTTTGTTTAAATCTTGCACTTGTAGGTTACATAAGAAAGAATTTTTAACACGAAAAACAATAGCTCTAGATTAAGATAATAAAAAAGAAAGATAAGAAATTAAAATTACAAAAAAAAATTAAAACAGAAATAGAATAATAAAGATTACGATTATTTGTTACTGATTTATTACTTTACTTATATAAACCAGAATACGGTAAATAACTCAAGTAATGTTGATTAACTCAATAACTCATTGTTTTTCAACATAAACTTGAAATTTCACTGAAAATAATCTAAAAAGAACTTACGGATTATTTTTAAAAATAAAAGTGTCTAGTAACTTTTGTTTATATTGCGATATTAATTAAAAATAAAACAATTCCGGAATAAAGTTATCTACCAAAAACAGAGAGACTGTTGATCAATATTGCAGCCATCTGTTGCTACGGCAACTTCGTTAAAGCAAACAAGCGAAGCTGAATTAAAAAAAAAATGTCTAACCTTTTTGAGTCAGATAGTATGCAGCCTGTTATTCGAAGCTCATTATTTTTTATAGATATGAGAAAAATGATGAAAGCTATTTTCTGCTAAATGCGTGGATAAAGTCGAGCAGATAATAAATTGTGAAGGATTTTAAAATAACTTCAACTTTTTCCTTCGTTAAAAGTAATGGTATAGTGAAGTTTATTGAAAATGAGCTTAAAATATTCAATATCAAAGATATATGTTTTGACGTAGATAAATTAAACCTTCACCTGGAACTAATAAATTTAAATAATGGTTAAATATAGCTTATATTTTTTAGTAATGGTTAGAACGTACTAAATTTAACTCATTCTAAATCTAATTAGCTTCAGTTATAATATTTGAATTTATATTTCTATATCTAAGTAAGGAAACAATATTTTATTCGAGAAAAATAAAATGTTGATTCAAATTATCAAATGTATTTTAAAATATCAAAACTTATATTTTAATTTACTTTGAATAAAACAGCTATATTTGAAAGCTAGAAAAAAATGTGAAGCGATTGAAAAGATACGTAAAAGATTGTATTTTAAGTAAATGTTTTAATAAAACTTTAGTTATAATTAGCAGAAATTGATACAAATTATAAATATGTATTTTGCAAGAAGTATATTGCGAATCGTAAAGGCGAATATTTTAAAGATTTAAAAAAATCAATTTAACATATTTTTTTTCTTCATTTTGATATAACTGTATACAAGGTGTTCCGTCATACCACCCTTAATATATAGGTTTTGTATCTTTTAAAAAAATGAAGTCAAAAAGATATTTCGAATTCTCAAACTTATGTTTAAGCAAAGAATTAACAAAAATGCTATTGAAATTTGTCAAACCATTAGTGAGGCGAGAAGAAAAGCATGAAAAACTGATTAATATCTAGAAGTTTCTAATAATCATTTTTAAATACTTTCTGTTTTCTTCTGCAATTAAGTAGGTTTTGATGATTTTAATATCTCCTTGATCAGTAGTGATATGTTAGATTTCTGTCTAGTTTTTTTCCACGTTTAAATTTTTATTTGTGATTCTTAATGTGTATACTTTTTCCTTGGTAAAGGCTTATAAAAATATATACTTTTTTCGGAAAAGACCAATAAAAAAGATATATAAACCTTAATTTCTTTTTTGATTCAACAATTTCAACTAAAAATGAATATTAAATTACAAACAAAAAGAGAATGTTAGTCGTGCTACTACGCTATTTACACATAATTAAAAAGTACCCTGGTCGAGTGGAATGGAAAAATATAATAGACTTAACACTAAAAGACGGTAAAGGTCAAGATTTAGGTCATTTAACAGCTTTACAGTGAAATCTCCAAATACCAAAATATATAATTGTTTTCAACAAAAAAACTTGAAAGTTTCCTTAAAGCTTTTAATGAACAAAATTTTCAATTTTGTAATCATTTTTACAAATATTTCTGTTGCAATGTACTTTCCGCCATACTTTCTGTTGCTAAGTATCTGCAATTATTTGCGTGGCGTGTAATCAATTAGGTTTTTTAGGACGATTTGTGAAAAATATTGTTATATTCTCCCTTTGGTTTCATTCAATTTTAGGGTTAAAATAGAAAAGAAAAAAATTTCATTTTTATAAATATTCTACCTAGTTTATATTGTATATTAAGTTACATTCAAATGGGTTCATTTTAGTTGTGAGCAAAGAGAGTTGGTTCATAAATCGAACCATATCACATCACGTAGCAATCTTCAGCGGTTGACGAGTGTTAGAAAGCAAGGGGTGAGTCCCACTAGTAGACATGATTTTAACATAGAAAATAAAGCGTTCTTTCATGATGTCACTGACAAACTTTCGTTTGACGACGTCGTTTGGCAGTGAAAATTCTTAATTACAGCTTTAAGCATCCTGCTTGTATAAACGGACTATAAAAATACTCTAGTTCTCTAAAATTCTACACTACAGTAACTTAAATTTACGGAACTTGAAAAGCAGAACTTGTACGCAAAATTATACGGTAAATAGTTTTTTTTTTTTTTTTTTGACAGTGCACTTTAAAATATCCAAATAACTCAACTCAAAAGTGCACTGGAGATTGGTTTGAAAATGTTTCGAATAATTCACTAAGAGTCGTGGTTGCTCAGCGCTTGCCTCCCGATGAGCTGACTCAGGTACGAGTCCCAGCGATGGCTGGTTGATACAAAGTCTACCCCCGACTCGCTCCTACCACAGTGGTGACGTAAAATATCGTTAGTGGTAGACGGATCATGGGTTAGAGTCCAGACTGTTGAGCTAGCCGTAGGAGGTTTTCGTGGTTTTCTTCTCCATGTAATGGAAATGCAGATTAGTTCCACGAGTAAGTCCTACATGAAAGCAAATTTCTCTCGATGCTTGATCCAGAAGTTCACTTGTCTTTTGGATAGGATATCAAACTACAAGGCTACGGAGTTGAACGCTGGTAGTCATAAAGTTGAAATTAGACTGGTTGTTCACCGATGGTTATGAAATAATATACACACTATAATTAAAAAAAACTAAAAAAATTTATTTGCTAAAGAATGAATATTTTTTAATTCAAACTCTTAATAAAACAATTGTAATGCTTAAGAAAATGTTTTAATTTAAGCAATAATTTGCTTATTTACTATTAATTTGATTTATTATTAATTAATTTCACTATAGTGAAAATAAATAAGAAGAAAAAAATTATTTTGTAATTATGTTTCATATTTACATATTTATCAAGAAATAGCCATTTTTTAAACAAGAAAAGGAAAACTTTTTATTAATATTATATTATAAAACTATTACTTGAAAAAAAACATTATATAAATCTAATCTCCTCTCTTAGTCTCATTAAATATTATAATACCTTATTATTCTTCTCAAGCTTCATCTATCTCTGTCATTCTTCTCATATATTATTCATCTCTATCATTTTCTTAAAACATTAATCTTCTTTGTTGCTCTTCCTCTCAGTAAGCGATATATTTAGATTCTTTATATATAGACGATTACTGAAATAAAATGATTCGCAGACATTTTGAGAAGTATATCCCAAATGTGATTTAAATAAGAAGAAACAATTCCTCTCTCAAAAATTTTAAAACATAATAAATTAATATTATTAACTGATCTTCCTAAGCATTAAAAAATTGTACAACGATGGTATTTTTTTCATTAGCGTTGATCAGTCAATTGATATCGGATTCACCACTATATCAGTGTTCAGCTCCGAAGTCCGGTAGTTTTCAGCCATGCCCACAATAAAAAAGGGAACTCATGATCTTCAGTACAGAATTTGGATTAACTCGCTTACGTGGTAGACTTGGGAATGAAACTAACAAGCTTTTCAGTCACATTAAGATGTAAATCATGAAAACGTCATGCGGTTCGTTGGATGGCAAGGACTCGTGACATATGACCCGTCTACCCCAAAGATATATTTCGTCAACGCAATGGCTGATGCGAGCCGAGAGTTGTACACGGAAAGGGCGACACTGGGATTTGAACCTAGATCATTCCTTTTGGAAGCAAGGACTTAATATATTGAGCCACTCCTGCTCAAATTTTACCGTTTAGTATTTTTATCAATTAAATACTTGAAGATGGTAAATGTGCGCAACAACATGCACCAAATAATCAGAATATTGCCTAATTCCGAAAATATCAGAATTTTGAATTAATTTAAGACATTTCTATGCTTGGTTAGTTTATAAAAGTATTTAGCGTGTTTTTCATTATTTTGTAAAGAAAATAAATGTGAAAATTTTTCAGATTTGTTTTAGCTTCGTACGAAAAATAGAACAGCAAAAACGTGTATTGAATTAATTAAATTAAATAAATTTTAATTGAATTACATTTAACTTTATCTTTAAATTTAAATCCTCCAATTATACGCACACAGTGTTTATTCTAAAAAAAGTATGACCAAAACTATCAGAATATGGTTAAATTAACCCTTTTTTTAGCCCTATCGAAAACTAAAAAGTTTGGCTATTTTTACCGCAGCGCTTTGGTAATTATTTTAGTTCAATTAACCATAAAATATGACGC